TGATGAAAGTCGCCGAGACCTAGTTATACCATCCTTGTCATAGTTTTACGTTCAACTTGTCTCTCAGTTATCACCACGGTAAAAACTCGTGTTTAAGAGCTTAGTGGTTTAAGAACTTGCTAGCAGAAATTTACCATTTTAATACCCAAAAATATAAGAATATGTTTAGCCAAGCAAGATCAAGCAGGTTTACGTTCTTACATGTGGGTTACAGTTGAATTATGATAAACATTTTAACCAAGGAGTGTGACTTTGAGATTACGAATTTATACTACAAGAAAATACATAATACAATTGTGAGTAAACACAGTATATTCAAGAGCTAAAACGAAGTTTTTTTTTTTCTAGCGTTCAGAACACTGTTTTTTTTTTAAATTTTGATCCTAATAAAATGATATTTTTTTCCGGCTAACACTACTTTCTGTCTTTTTAAATTCGTATTCAGATTTTTACTGCAAACTCAGACCGAGACACGATTGTGTACAACGTCGTGAGTCCACCCATAACAGCTCGCTACATTAGAATCGTTCCCAGAGCCTTTTTTGATCACATTTCCATGAGGATGGAGATCTACGGTTGCTAAGGTAAACGACTTTTCTTTCAAACTACACTCGCCTCAAGGGTCGTCTTGCTAATTTTGAGAGAATTTTCAATCATCACTCGTAGTGTAAACCCTTAATTGCACTCGCATTCACACGATTACCTTTATACTTTTTAAAAAAACGTTTTCTTGGCGTTTCCTTTTTGACAGAGAAAACTCCTTAAAGACCACAAGAAAGTGTATACTCTGGTACTTGGTAAAAATGAACTTCATAATTTAATCGGTGCACTTGTTTTGTTTGTCTCAATAACACAGATGGCTCAGTTGCACGCGATGGACAAGGTCAGGTCAGGAGTTGGATCTTCTTGGTGCTTATTTAGCAAACATTCATAAACCACAAGCTTGTAATGTCCCTTATCAAACTGAAGGACATTGACAGACCCTTGTTTAGCAGAGATCACCAAATAGTAGAATAAAATTTCCAGCTCTGAACTCAGCACGTTTTGTATTGTTTGTTTTGGGCACCACGCTTGCAGGGTTGCATGGTCTTTACTGAATTTTCAATTCCAATGACAGTACGTGTTTGTCATTATGATAATTAGCATTTCAGCATCACTGCAATGCATCTTAATTTGGAACCTCAAAATTAAATAATATTTGTTTCCAGTTTCATCCTTGCCCCCCGTTAGCACACTCAATTCTTGACAAAAGAATATAAGAGTTTTTAACAAATAACTAATAATCATCATTAGATGCATTTTTTCTTCCTTTTCATTGGTCGAGAGCCAACCACGTGACCTGCAAATAGCTACCTAAAAATAATGGTCTGCTCATGCGTAGTACCGTCTAAATGTGTTTTGCTGCAAATAATATTCTGCTCATGCGTAATTGAAACCATGATCTCTGGTGAAAAATGGCAGATTGCTCTCCTGAGTTGTCAGAGATAGGGTGATTTAAATTAGAAAACAAATTTGGTGATCGAATGATAAAACAATTATTGAACTCGGTTGTCGCAAAATATCGTTATTTGTCAGTGTCTCGCAGATCAATTATTTGCAATTGATCCGCTCTCCACAGACAAATCAGGATATTTTGCTCAGCCTCATCCAATAATTGTTAATTATGTCGGATAGCTCCGACACGCGAAGAGAGGTTTCTACAGAAACAAAATGACCGTCATCATTATCAAACAACAACACTGTACCGAAGCTCTGACTGAATTGTTGGTTTAATTCTTGTCGTGGATGCCTTCTTTGCAAACTGAACCAAATCATCACAAAGGTGCTTACTGTGATTCTTGTCTGGAGCCCAGGCCATCATGCCATGAACACAGCAAATCTTCAAGTCTTTCCCGGGATTATGAAATTGTCGACCTTCAACACCCGGTTGCCACGTGTTATCGTTTTTCATTTTTTTCTTTATTCGCAATGATTACAAGATTGTTCAGTCTTATTTCACAACATTTTTTGACGATTTGATCTTTCAGTATTTCTATCTTATTTAGCCGTCCATCGCGCCTCAAATAACTGGTGCTAGTTACCCGTGGAAGACAAGTTGTCACGGACTGGATTGTGTTTAGTTTATCTCCTACAAGATTAGAATCTGCAAGTAGAAAATGGTATGGGGGTGGGGGAAAGGGATAAAGAGGTTAGCGCGCTTAGTACTGTTCAACGCCTATTAAACGGCCACCCTCGGGGAAATGGATAGTGGCCGCTTAATGGCGGCTGGTCGTTTAATGGAGGTAAAAACAATAGAAAAGCCCTCATCGGGACTTTGATTACTGGCCGCCTAATAGGGGTGGTCGTTTGATAGCTGGCCGCTTAAGGTCATTCCACTGAAATAGAACCTGCACTGAGATTTTTGTCAGACTTTGCCTATTGATTGTTTATATTATAGGAACTTAAATTTGGAAATAAAAATGTGGGGTCCCCATGTTCGTTTAGGAGCAACAGCACCTTGTTTGTACCCAATAAATCCTTATAACAGTACCGTGATTATAGTCACGATTGCTTGCTAAATTCACGTTTCCGACTATTGTTCCTTGTTCTACACTGAGAATTGGTCCATACTTATTCTACATAGAGAAATTTGTTACTCAATTCAAAACAACAGAAAAAAAAATGATAGGTCACCGTATTCGTTTTCGAGGAAATGACGATTTACTTCTATGGCAAGGTCCAGCCGTAAAGAAAAAGCCGCCATTTTTTAATGCGCGCGCGCTAATCACGTGTGAAATTATGCGCAGTAGGGATGCGCAGTGCAATATTGGGGAATGACCTTAAATAGGGTTCGATTTGTATTATGAATTTTGCGCTCAATTCAAACCTCAGTCATTCATAATTATCATAATGTTTACTCCATCCTTTATTCACAGTAATTACAGCACTATCCTTGTCAATTTTTGTAGTCAATATTTATTCCACATTTTTTCAACGTTAAAAGTGTCGTCATTTGGGATTTCGTGTTCTCTCCACGACCAGAGCCTTTCATTCATTTGATCTGAAAATAGCAAGTTACAATTTAGTTGTGAGACATCACTTGAACTTCAAACGTTAAGCGTGCGTATTACTTTACCAGATCATGTATTACCATTCCACATAGCAGGGATGGAGGGACAGTATTTCCCGAAGGGGTATTTAGGATAAAGGGGTATTTAGGATAAAGAATTAGCTGAAGTGGCGATTATCTGAAAAGGAAGTTTGGGAGTAGGGGCGACTCCCATCTAAGGACTCCCATATCAAAAGAATGGGGGTGCCCATCGTACCTTTTAGAGGCTAAAAAAGCCGTTTTGGTACCTCTTAGGGTGTTCAGCTGCAAAAAGATCTGCAGTGGGTGGTTCCACAGTANGTCCACAGCGAGAGCTTTTGCGGTACTTTTTAGGGCATTGAGCCGAAAAAAAAAAATATGGCAGGAGATAATGGGGGTGGGGGGTTACTCTCGGTAAATCTTTGGGTAGGAGTGTGCCGCTGCGACACTGAACACCTTACCCTATACTAGACCATGATCATCTTGATTTTGTAACCCTTTTCTAGACTAGGCAGTAAGAACCCCTATCTTATCCCAGGCTTCAATTTTCCATGCAGAAACGTTATCACTATCGTAGTTCAACATACGCTAACTAAATCAATATCGTACAAGGTCACTTCCGAGTTTCAATTTCTGTTATACAATCCCGGGTAAAGAACCCTGTTTCAGACTACATTATTTATACACTTTCAGTTCAAGGTAAATCACACCCTATTCTAGACCAAAATTGTCTGATTTCTATACCCTATCCCAGACTAAACTGCCTGAAAACCATACTCTTCACAGCGGCACATACACATGTAGCTTGTTATATGTATGTGAGTATCCCTCCCTCCTCCCCCGATCTCGGATATGTTTTTTCAATCACTAGCTTACAATCGGCTATCTTGAACCCTCGACGTCTCGAACTATTTTGCGTTAACTCTCCCTAACGAGCTCGAGATAGCGTGATTCAATAGCAGAAGTTTGAAACTGATAAATCTGACACTTCGGATAACTGACGGTCTGAGGGGAAACATACGACAAACATAAGGCAGACAACTGCACATGATGCGATATTTGCTGCTGTTTAATCTAATTTTCCAGCAGCTTCTTCACTCTTTGTAAACAGAAACACAAACGTGGTTGATTAATTTCGTGTCTTAGGATAATATTTACCTTTAAGATTTCGTCTTTTTCCGGCAGAATTCAATCGTGAGAAACTTTTCTGTTTCAAAAATGACCCTCGTTTCCCGATGCCATGGATACGAAGGAAGTAGGCTCGCGAAGAGATTGCAAATGTGACCAAAAATATAAGTGCAACTACTTGAGGCTTCATGTTGCTCGGCTGGAAAAAATGAAATGCTTTCTGCAATTAAATAAAACATAAACATACTAGGCGTTGAAAAGATTGTAGTGAATTTTAGCTAAAGTGATTTTTAATTTTAAGGAGTTAGCGAGGCGGGTTAACTCAGCAAGGGGTTAAATTTCGAGATAACAACTTCAGTATTACTATATCGGAGACAAAAATTAAAGTGGTTGAAGAACTGAGAAGCTAGAGAACATTTTGTGAACGTTTTGTTTTGAAAGTCTATTATTCCAAATGCCTAAAGGAGATTATCCTTCGACGCATTCCTAAAGTTACTTGTTGTTAAATTGCCAAGGTCTTTGCAAATGAAACTCTAATCGGTCAGGGTTATGGGGAAAGGCTGGGAAGATATTTTCGAAAATTTTTTGCGAAACTCTGTGAGAATATTGTATGAAATGCGGAGTGTTTCGACACTTCTGTCGCTTATTATAGCCAGCTGTCACCAGTTTAACGAGCATGTTCAAAGTCAGTTTAGTTAAGGCTGTATTAGAAAGCACCTAATATGTTAAAATCAGGCCCTGCTAAAGGCCTGTATGCGATTTAAACTGAAATATCAAGAAATAATTTTAAATTTAGGGTAACATTTTCCAGTGGTAAAAAGAGATCCACTAGATAGCGCGATAGACTGAGTGATTATATTCACCATAAATGAAAAGAGAATAGGTGTTTTGCCATTGCATTAAATTTGCGGCATCCTTTTTAATTTTGCAGTGAAATAAAATGGACCTGAGACATGGAATGGCCGTTAGTTATTCTGTGCAGTGTGATCTGCAACCTCTTTTGCACCCTCATGCGAGATTGGCACAATTTACATGAGCGCAATGACATCTTGTGAGATAAATGTACAACTGTCATACATCATAAGTAGAAAATAACTAAGAAAAAAAAGGCAAAAAAAGAGGGAGGGAGCTTAACATTTTCTAGAAAAGCGCAGATAAGGTTAGTTTAAAATATCTACAATTGAAGATGAAGAACTTTCAAGGGCCTGTAGCTTTTGATAAGAACCAGCTAAGATGGCAACCGTTAATTGTTCAGTTCAGCAAATTATATGTAATCAATGTTTAAGGATAAATAGGAGGCTTTGGGTGTATATATTATATTGGGTAAAATTGAAAGCTTGAAAGAGAAAAGTAACCGAAAGATTTGTTACCTTTTCGAGGCTCTGTAAGTGAGAGGTTTCAGAGATGAGTTGGTAGCAAATGTTTAATGCTTCCCCCACGCCGTGTATCTTTAGATGCCGAGGCAGCTGCTTCAGTTAGTTAAAAAAACAAACCAAATTGTTTCTCCTTTCCTGTCTCTTCCTCTACAAGACCAAAAGTGGTTTACATAAAACGGGCCTTTTAACCTTATTGTCAACAATGAAATTAGTTGTACCGGAAGATGAAAGACTTAACCACGTCCGAACGTTTGAAATGTTACATTCATTTCCTAAAGTATCGATCGCATTGTTTGCGAATTGACAAATACTTAGTGCTGATTCTCACTGGAAATTGAATTTGCCATTAGTCGTAATTGTTTTGTCGTTAATCACAACAAAGAAATGACTGACGCTGATAGTTAAAATCTAAGACTGAAAACCACGCTGAACACAACTGAAACAAGTTTTAAAAAAATTCTTTTAGTTTAAAATTGAAGTGCTTTGTGTTTTTTTTGCCATCAAGTTACTGACATGTACTTAATTGATGCGTTAAATTTTCTAGGATTTTGTATTCTTACGTATTGTAGTTACATTTGGAGTCTTTATGTTTGATAATCACCGAAAAACAAAGCTAGAAATTAAGGAAATGATTCTCAATAAAATGTTGCATAAGTATGAACGGTTTTGAGGCTACTTCCCATTCATAACAGTCAGCCGAAACACCAGATGAAGTCATTTGTAACCAAATTGGTGTTCCGTAAAGATCACCATGTTAATTGTTTAGGCGTTGAGGAAACAGCACCATTTTAACTTGATGTTGAACGTCAAAAGTGGCTTCTTTATATATAAATACTATTCTGAAAATTCTAAACAATTCAATCGCCCCTTCCAAATTACGAGGCAAACATTCCAGGAACGATCTTACAACCACTTTAACCTAATCTATAGCAGATTACTTTACTTGCAAAAAATTTCGGACAATTTTAATTCCGGAAAAAAAGAGTCCGAAAACAAAACCGTCCGAAATTTTTAAGCGTCAGATATATTTACATTAGAGTATAAAACTTTCAAATAGCTCCAAAACTCTTAGTTTCCTTTTTGGAGCGAATTCTAGTCGAGACACTGTTTGAGATGCGAAACGGCTTGACAGAATTTGTCTTATTTTCTCGTCGGTGTATCTGTAAAACCATTTTCATAGATGTTGTTTCAGTATAATTCGTGTTTTGTTGGCGTAAATTTGCTTTAGCTATGTTCGAGCAAAGTGTTCAAAATTTTTGTCGGAAATGAGTTAAAAGTGTCCGAAAACTACACGTCCGCAATTTTAACGTCCGACATTTTATGCTAGTAATGTATGTGGACACATCAGTGCTTGCGTGAATCTTCATCTTGGGACTGCACGGATGTGTGTCGCTCGCTCGCGTACCCAGGAAACGCGCTCAACAAGTATCTCAACAAGACTTGTGGACAAAACTGCAGAAAAAATAAAGAAGTCGGAACTCCCTACACTGAAGTTATCTTAGGTTGTGGCTTGCTATGTCTGTCACCGTGTAGATGTTATGTTTCATGTCAGAGCTTGGTCGTTTAAACTGACATCTGATCTTGGAGCACTATGGAGCACTGTCGACCGTGAAGCGAAATCAGCTGAAGGTTACCGTATACCTTTAGAGGTGTCTCGCGTCCAAGCGATGAAGTGCGCCCAGTTTTAACTGTAGATACCAAAACTCCTGTATCAAATTAAAACTTATAGAGCTGGCTATCAAACTATACAAAGAATTGTAAAATAATATGAATTGTCGAATGTTTTTTGGACCTCTTAATGCGAGCGTCCGAATCACCTTTTTAAAGATACAAGTCGAAGCGAATTTTGGTTTTCGCTTATTTAATTTGTTCCTCAGTTTCTGGACCTAAAGAGCTAAAAAAGGGCGTCTGAGATTTGCCATGTTTAGTTTCAATGAAAAGTTACGGAACATTTTCGAAATAGGATTAAAAACATATGGAGTGACTGTAGAAAAAATGGTACTGGAGAAAAAATATTTGGAAATAAAAAATTCGCAAACACGTGTTTGTTGTTTATACATTAAACTAGATAATGTCCAAATTTGAGGGCAAACGAATAAATTCCCTTTGACTTGTAGCTTTCAAAAGGGACCCAAAAGATGATTCGGTCGCTCACATTTAGAGGTCACGTAAAACTCGAGAATTCATTTTATTTCAAAATTCTCAGTATAGTGTGATAGCCAGCTCTATAAGCTATAATTTGATAAAGGCGTTTAGATATCAGTTTAAACCGGACGTGCTACATCCCTTGGACGCGAGACACCTCTAAAGGTGCTCTAAAGGTATACGCTAACCTTAAAAATTTACCATGACATTCAAACAACTGCTGCTCCAGTCACTTAAATTCTGAGGCCGTTTTTATCAGTAGTAAACGCAATCACGTTTCCAGGGCCTTGATCCCCCGGTCCCCCGCAACCAGAGGTCAAAGGCCGTCAGAAATGCTTACCTCTGTTGCAACCGATAGTGATCAGCCGTCGGCCTCTGGTCGAGGAAATCGCGGGCTCTGGGAAGGAGATTACAGCAAACGTTGCCATAAAAGTAAGGTACCATTATCAATGCAAACATTGCAGGAACAAAAACATTATAGTTTATAATATTATAATCAGAATATTATAGATTTTTTACAACAGCTTTCTTTGGTATTCAAGCGATGGACTGCTTTGATGAGTAATGCCATAATGAAATATTAGATTACAGTGAACTTTGTCCAACAATTAAACTTCAATTCATGTTTTGCTGCCAAACTTGATTTGATAATGTCATGACATCGGTTTGCAAAGCTGTTCAAGCGCGAGGTGAGTCAAACTGAACGATTTCTTGAACATTTTTAAATTCAAAGATGTCTTCCCGAGAAACGTTCCACTCGTTCCTAGCTTCCGGTGTCCATCTATTTGTCTAGCAAATACAACATCACCTCTCTTTGACCGAGGAAGGTTGCAAGGTGGACTGGAGACCAGCCATCTCTGTTCGCTCTTGTGACGTCAGCTCCAAACTCGACCAATAGTTTTACGGATTCTATTCTCCCATCTCTTATACACTGGTGTAGAGGTGTGTCACCGGCCTCGTTTAACGCGTTAATATTGACACCAATGCTTAGCAATCGGTGGACCTCCTGGCGGTCTCTATTGTTCACTGCCTCTTGAAATGCTTTTTGATTTTGTCTTGTGTCTTTCGATGATGTAGCACCCAACTTCTGACTGAAAGATGAATGTAGAAAGAATGTAAATTGAAGTTCTCGCTTCCGAGTAAATAATAATAATAATAATAATAATAATAATAATAATAATAAATTATTTAAAGGCGAATACATATATAGTGAATACTATTAAGTAAAATTACAAGTAAGGTAAGGAAAAAACAGATCATAAATGAAGAAGTCCTGCAGCTCTTGCTAAAAACGAGTTAGTAGGCCTTTGCGTTCCTGACTTTGGTTTGCTACTGAACCTGGTTTAGATCTTAAGTTATAGCCGTGGCTGGTAGTTGGCTTTGTGAGAAATATAGATAGAGATGACAAATGTAGATAAAGGTAAAGTATTAGATATTAAATAAAGTTAAAGTCTGCATACGAGCCAAGTGGCTTACCAGGCCGGAGCTTATCCCGTTTCTGTAGCATGAAGGAACTAGAAGTATTTCTACTCCCCACTGGATGGGTTAATCAATTATTCATTTTTATCGAGGAAGAAAACTCGGTCTAAAACGCAAATGGATGTGGCTGGGAAAGTTTTGTTGCGCCCGCTTCGCGCTCTCCCTCGCCTTCCGCGCTCGCGTCGCCCGCGCGCTCGAAGAAAAATAACTCGTGCCAACAAAACAAACGTCTGTGAACAGACTACAAACATTTAGCCGTTAGGCCTAAAAATTGGAAGATTTTAATCGTTAGCCGTATTAAAATATTAACCGTAAAAAAATTTTAGCCACGAGATCTCTTGACAATGAAAGTCAATTTAACTTTTTAAAATAATAATAATTTAGAATTTCTAAGATAACCGTTGGCCGTAAAAGACACCCTCGTGACGGAAGTGAATTGAACTTTGACGGTCGCAAAACATTTAGGCTACGTAGGTCAAGGATGTAAGACCTTTCTTTCGTCTGGCAGCAAATATTACCTTCTTTTGCTAGTCTCGATTAAATTTTTATCCACATCAGACCATTAGGCAAAATTAACCTTGATTTCCATCCACTAGTCCTTCAGTTGATCCTTGATGGGAATACGTCAAAAATGGGCCGGGCGTGACTCGAAAAATATGAACAACTTTTTATAAACAAAGGAAAATAGAAGTGGTTTCACACAATCGTAGGAGTGCTCGATACAAATATGTTTCAATTTCTGGTTTCTGGTTTATCATTACGTTCTTGGTGCTTTTACCCTGGAAAACCTTCACACCGATATTTCCCATAATCTGAAAGCAATCTTGTACATCTCATGACAACTGAATTCAACTGATGATGTGACATGGCTTCACTAAGCCCTTTTCAGCCATTAACCCTTGAGGTTTAATCCTCGGAGAGAAAAAAAATGCACCTCCATAGCCATTTAATGGTTTTATTTTCATCCATTTAACACTTGACTTACCATTGACCCTCGTCTCCCCCTTGAGGGCCTTTATCTCACGGCTGGCTTTCTGTATATTAAACCGGCGTGTTGATGTTGTGTGCTGGAGAAATTCGGCATGGGAGATATATTCGTCTCGCTACGGCGCAATAAGCTTTTGGTCGTATAAGTTGCGGTATAGAAATATTTATTCTAGACAGGGTAGACTGTTAAAGAGCGGGAGGGGGGTGTGGAGCGGAGTGTGGGGGGGAGGGGGGGGGAGGAGGAAACCGTTTGGCAAAAAAGAGCAGTCAGCTCTCAGGTCTGTGTTTTTTAGCTATCGTTTTGCCCACTTTATGTCCCAATTCAGTATCACTCAAAATAAATTGTATTTTTTGTGGGGTAGCTTGTCTTAATCATGTTAACATCGGTCATGTCTCTCAATTCAATTCGCGACATGGTCTTTTGCTTATGGTTAGGGTACAGTTGTGGACGAGCACCATCTAAAATCATGTATATCATTTAGGTTTAATTTCTCTTCAAATCAAATTCCACGAGGTCAAGGTAAACCACGTGTTGTTACCACAACGACTAGCCAT